CTCCCAAATGTCCCCCCAAAGGGAGGCTCTTTGTTCCTCCCCACCCCCACTCCTCGCCCTGGGCCCAGAGTCAGGTGCAGACCGAGGACTGGCTGGGGTGGAAAGTCTATGGGCGCGCCTGGATGGGCTGGTGTTGCTCTAACAGAAACACCTTCAGGGAGCAATGTTAGCAAACAGAAATGGATTCTCTCGGTTTCAGAGCCTGGGAATCCAAATTCAGAGGGCCAGCTCTGGGGTGCAGGGTTTCTCTCTTGGGAGAGAGGTCCTTGTCCCTTCCAACAGCGGCCCCTGGGCGATCCCCAGGTGGCATGGTGTCTGTCTGTCCCCATTTCTGCCCACTCGCTAGCTTGTGGTTTTAACTCACACCCTACACTCATCCTGCCTCAAACAGGGTTATAACCACAGGTGGTGGGGGGGGGTGGTGGTGTTAGGGTTAGGACTGCACCTATTCAGGGGGTGAAATCCTATCCAACAGAGGGCATACTCAATCATCGAGCTAAATCTTTGATTGGTTCAAAATCCAAACAGGGGAAACCGGTCTCAGAGCATGGACCCCTCACCGGCTGTCGTCCAGAAAGACAGGCTCTGACAGGGCTACAGGGGCCTTTGGCGAGCGAGGCAGGGCCCGGAACAGCCCAGACGAGGACCCCAAGGTGAGACCAAGCTTGGTGGGTTCTAGGAAGAACAAGGGGCCCTGTGGCTGTCATCCTATGAATCAGTGCTGTGGCCGCTGAGGCTAAATGGGCCGGAGCCCTAGGCCAAGGTGAAAGGTTGACCCTGTGTCAGGGCCAGGGAGTGGTCTAGCCCAGGGATGCAAAGGTCGCCCCCAGGCTTGTGTAGGATAACTCTGGCTGCTGGGTAGCAACTCAACTGGGCAGGGCCTGGGGGGAGGGCCGTGGAGAGACGGCTGCCATTGCCCTGGTGAGGGGCGGAGCCGACTTGGTGCCCTCGATGGTGGCTCTTCACCCAGAAGCCTTTGCGAGATGGTTTTGTTCCCCCGTTTTGCAGAAGAGGAAACTGAGGCTCCGAGAGGTTCCTTCGCCTGCTCAGGGGTCCTCACTAGAAGGGGCCCAAGATGAAATCTGGACCCGGGTGGGTCTGCTGCCCACCTGACCAGCTCAGAGGAGTCTGTGGATGGTGCAGGGGGGCGGGCTATGAGTTGGAGAGTCATGTCCCGCCAGAGGGCCCGTGGAAAAAAGGGCTGGCAATCCATTCCAAGAACCGTCCACTGCAAGCACAACGGAGCACAGTTCTACTCCAGGGGTCCCCAGGGGTCAGAGCCCACTCCAGGACGACTGCCTCACCCGGCCCGTGTAACAGTAGCCAAGCCTCAGTGTCCTGATCTGCAGTAAGGGTCGACGGACAGCACCCACCTCCACGGGTTGAGGCATCTTGGGAGAAAGGCAGCAAACCCACAGCCTTTTGCCACTCGGCTCTCTCTCCCTGTTCTTCCCTCAAAGCAGAAACTTTGGTATTTGTTCTTTAAACATTTGTTTTATTCTATCGGGGTTTTCTCCTTTCTTTTTTGGAAAGGGAAGGATTGGGGAAGGTAATCAGTTTTCGGACTTAAGATAAAAAAATCGCACGAGAGCGTCCGCCTGACTCTTGATAATGAATGGGGCGGCTTGTAATAGGATTCTCCCGCCTGCGGCATTCCCAGGAAACACCTTTTTACATAAGATATTGCCCGCGCTGGCCTGGCAGGCGTTGATTTATGGGGTGCCTGGCTCCAGAAAACCTCTCCTGGGGTCGCCAGCCAGTGGAATTTATCAGGGAGTTTGGACGCGAGGCAAGAAGCCGGCCGGTGACATTTTTGGTGGAATTTTCAAAGCACAAATGCTGGGGGAAAGGAGAGGCCGGGGGGACGAGCGGGGGCCGGAGAGGGGGTCCGGGCAGGCTGTCTTCTCCGAGCAGAGCTGGGGCCCGGGATTCTTGGCGTGTGATTTATGGAGAGGGGCTGGGCTTGCAGGAGAAGACATTTGAGGGGTGCGACCCGGAGGAGGGATGTGTGTGGGGGGGTGTGGATCACCAGGCCCAGATGCACTGTGGGGACCAGGTTGGCCCCAGTCTGACCATCCGACGGGATGTTCCGGGGCAGAATGAAGTAGCACCCGCAGTTTCTTTGCTTAAGGCCAGGAGACTGGCTTTTTGAGCCCTGCTGTCCGCCAGCCCTGGTTGAGGTCAATGCTTAACCTGCCCCTAAAGGCTGGGCGTTCGAGTCCACGCAGCGAGGCGCTTTAGAAGAAACGCCTGGTACTCTGCTTCCAGAAATGCAGCCTCTGAAATCCCCCAAGATGGTCCTCTGATGCTCGTGGCTGCATGAGCGGGAGCTGGTGGCAAGCACGTGAGCCTGCGTGCATGCCCCCGCCGCGTGGGACACACGTGTATGCAGGCACAGCCACAGCCACTCATATACAACGTGGGCTGCCAAGCCCACCTGAGCTGCCACTTCCCTCCCCCACATGAAGGGCAGCCCTCTCTCTGCAGCACCCTGCGGTGAACCCAGCACCTGCTCAGGCTGTAGAGGCGGGACAGCGCCTGCTCCCATTCCCTGCCCTCCTAGGCTGGGCCTCCCCCAGTCACTTTGCTCCACTGGCTGCTTGAGGTGAGGCCCCTGGAGGCAAGGCTCACAGGAGCTGCAAGAGGTAGAACCGACAGGGTCCCAGCTGGAGTGGGGGGAGCCGGGCATATCTCAGGCAGGTACACACACCTGGCGGCAGGTGTTCTCCACGTAGGTTAGTCAAACACGGAACCACCCCCTGTTCCCCAGCCCCCTGTTTCCCCAGCTGAGAGCTCCCAGGAGAACAAGGCACTATCCCAAGATGCTCTCTGCCCCTGCCCATCCCTGTCACGTCACGTCAGAACAGCTATTCCCAGTTTTGTGCTCTCCCTGGGGCTTCGGCCCGGTTTCCCTGGAACCAAGGGAAGATCATTGGCCTGTGTTATCTGGACTGGGTCAACAGTGGCCTCGGCTACTTATCTCCCCCTCACTGGGACCGTGCGGGGGGGTTAGGGGGGTGGGAGGTGGAGGGACGGGGATGGACGAACAGCAGCTGAGACATCTCCCAGGAGGGCAGGCAATCAGGGGAGGTTGTGGACAGAGGTCTGGCTAGAGCCAGAGCACCTGGGGTCCAGGTGGACCACTCCCCTGGGAGGGCCAAGAGGAGCACCGCTGACTGATGTCATCCAGGGAGGCTTCCTGGAGGAGGCTGCCCTCACACTGGGCTTGGAAGCATCGTGTTTAGAAGCATAGAGGGCAGGGCAGGGACAGGACGGGGCTCAAGCCGGGGGAAGGGGCTGTGAGAGGGTGAGACACAGCACCCATGGCCACGCAGTTTTCTTCAATGTCAAATTCCTGATTTTCCGGAATTTTCTATGGGGCCTGTGTGGCCTGCAGGGAATGGCCCTACCTCACTCCCCTCGGTTGCAAAACAGGGACAATAATAGTATTCTCACGTGGGTGTAGCCCAGCTCTAAGGACACAGCGGGTGCCCAGAAAGCCTGGCTCTTCCGCACTCCCTGTCCCTGGGGGAGAAAAGCTGGGGAAAGGGTAAGCACTAGGATGGGCTAGGGAAAGAGGCCTAGAGATCCAATCCTGGAAAACCTGCTAATGTAAACCCTCTGGCTCTCAGCAGGGCAGTGTGCAACTGACCCCCGGGGACGGCCCAGTATGGACGGCATTCTGCTCTGTTTATGGGCGGGGGGGCCCGCGCCCCGCAACATTGACTTGGCAATCCCCAGTAGCCCTCCGGAAGCAGCCCATTTTACAGATGGGAAGACCAAGGCCCTAAGCGCCAGCTTTATTTGTTCAAGGTCAGCAGCTAGTCAGGTGGGTCAAAGCAGTGGTTCCCACCTGCCCAGTCCAGCTTTGGGGCTCTCCTGACTTGGTTGGTGAGGGGGGGTCTCACCCCAGCAGGCCCGAGGGAACCCTGGCATTTAAGGGTTATGCTGAGATCATCCACCAGTTTTGCCCACCCCCCTTCGGTCATCCATCTATCCATCCTCCTGTCTGCCATCCCCTCCGAGAGGGGTGTCACTCGGCTGAGGTCACACAGCCTGCAGGAGCTAGGTTCTGCGATGGCCTGCGTGGCTCTGGGTGGGCCCCACGCTTTTCTGAGTCTCCTGGTTCAGCACGATTGATGAGGGATTGGACAAGGCGCCCTCCATCCCATCCCAGACCCATGGACCGGAAAGATGTAGATAGAGTCAAGTCAGGCCCAGAGAGGCCCTTTCTGTGGGCGCCAGCCTTCCGCATAGAAGACTCGTTGCTGCCCCCTGGTGGCTTCAAGAGTCTCATTCCCCAGGCCTTTCCCAGAGGCCGAGGGCCCTGTTTGCTTGTTGGGATGCTAACTGGAAGATCAGCAGTTCGAAACCACCGGCTGCTCCTGTCAGAAGCATGACAGTCTTGGAAACTCACATGGGCAGTTCCTCCTCGTCCTGTAGAGTCACTTGATGGTGGTGAGTTCGGGGGATCTTCCTTCCCCACCCCCGCCCCCCATGGGTGCAACTTAAAACCCCACCCATACGAAAGAGCTGAGGTCCACACAAACCAGGGCTGGGCCCTATTCCAGCTGGGTGACCTGGGGCAAATTACCTGACAGACCTGTGCCTTGGTTCCCCCAACAGTAAACCAGATGGTGATAATGACCCCTAAGCAAGTCCCTTAGCAACTATTCAAGGAGGAGCTCAGTAGGGCTTTCTGTCCCATAACAAGCTCTCTGGGGGGTGGGGGAGGGAGGGTGGGACTGTTGACTGCTGTCCTCCCCATCCAGGTCTAAAGAGGGACAGAGCCCATCAACCTGAGCAGGTGCCTCAGGTAAGGAATGCCCTTGTAGGTGTTTGGCGTGGCTGGATCCCGTGGGCAAACCTGAGTTTTCAAGCCACTGAGACCAGGCTGTGTCCCCTGGAGTCACCCAGTCACAGAGCCTGCCTCAGAGTTACATGCACCTTCCACACGCTTCTTGGAAGGTTCCGTGAAGACCAGGTCCACAAGGTCGCACTCAGGTCATAAAGGGTTTATTGGCTGGGGCGGAGCCAAAAGGAGTGTTTAGGAGGACTTCCTGCAGGAGGCGGCAGCACCGAAGCGTCCACGGCTAACAGGTGTGCCCATGTTCCCCTCCACCAGCCACAAGGAAGCCCGGAGCCCTTAGCTCTCTCCCAGCTGGGCTTTCAAGGCCTGCAGCTCCCGGCTATCAATGCTGTTGCCCCCGCACACGATGACCACCACTGAGGCTAGGGAGGGGCTGAGGCGGCCCTCAGCTTGCAGACGCCCAAGAAGGCCTGAGTAGATGGCTGCCAGGGCCGCCCCGCAGGCAGGTTCCACCAGCATCCGCTCATCGTCTGCCAAGAGGGGGTGGTGAGGGTGGGGAGAGGAGAGGAAGGAGGTGGGGAGAGAGAGTGAGCTAATGCTCAGCAGGCTCTGGACACCCCAAACCCATGATGTCATCCATCCACCCATCCATCATCCATCCATTCACCCCTTCATCCATCCATCTCCCCAGCCATCATTCGTCTGCCTCTTGGCCCATCCATCAACCTGACCATCTACCTACCTATCTATTCACCACCCCCATCCATCATCACACTGTCTGTCAGTCCATCCATCAGGGTGTCTATCCATCAGTGTTGTCCATCCACCCATCAGCCATCCTTCCATCCATTCCCCCCACTATCTGTCATCTGACCATTTGCCTGGCTGTCCATTCATCAATATGCCCATTGATCAATGTGACCATCCATCCATCCACCCATTTCTCTATCACCCACCAATCCATGACCCCATCAATTTATCCTTCCATCCATCCATCCATCCATCCATCCATCCATCCATCCATCCATCCATCCACATCTATCTACCCGTTATATACTTTCCCACTCACCCATCCATTCATCCATTCATTCCACAAATATTTACTGAGCTCCACTCCCTGCCGGGCCCTGGAGACACAGCCTTGAGCAAGATGCGCCAGGTCCTGCCTTAGGGAACTCACCTTGTTCCGTTGGACAGAATGATAAGAACTACATCGTTAGGAACAGATGGCTTGCCACCCAGGCAGCCTCAGCCTCAGGCAGGGGAGGCTTCCTGGAGGAAGCAGAGTTCCCCTTCCTCACGAGAAAACCGATAATGAGCAGAACCCAGGATGGGCATGCTTGGGGGAAGGACAGCATGCATGACAGCCAGAAAGCTAGGATGGCAGGGTTCGCTCCTTCCTCACTCTTCCCTCCAACTGGCTCAGTGTGCACTCATTTTGTAGTTGCCGGTACCTAGCCCTGCATTAGGAGCTGAGGGTGGGACTGGGGTTGGGGAGGGGGGAGATAGGGGGAGGGGCTGGGCTGCACCCACTCACCTAGGAAACGCTGCACCGCATTCACGGCCTCCGAGTCCTGTACCACCTCAGAGATGATGGTGCACTCCCGCGTGCACGCCAGGGCCCGAGCGGCCACTGTCTTGGCACCCAGGCACTTGGCCACACTGCAGGATGGGAGGGGGAGGACCAGGGTGCCAGTGAGCCGGAGACTCAGGGCCCTCTCTGCGCAGCCCCAGCCCCAGGGGGCCCGCTCCCAGCCTGGGGAGGTCTGGAGCTGCTTTCTAAACGGCTCCTTGGCCACTTGCACAGAATAAGCGCTTCATCAAGATGGTCCCCAAGGCCGCGTTGCGTTCAGATGCCCTGCCGTCTATGAGAGGAGCCCTGGCGGCCTAGTGGATTTCATGCTAGGCTGCTAACTGCAAGGTCAGCAGTTCAAAACCACCAGGCAACTCCCGGCGAAAGAAGAGGCTTTCTATTATGGTACACAGTTACAGCCTTAGAAAGCCACAGGGGCAGTTCTACCTGGCCCTGTTATGGCCACTATGGGTTGGGATCAACTCGATGGCAGTGAGTTTGGGTTTCTGGTTTTGCTGTGTACGGAATCATCTCCCAAGGGCCAGCCCTTGGGCTGGGAGTGAGGGGGGGGGGCGTGTTCCACTATGTGGAAGGTGCTAGGGTCCCATGTAGGGGGTGAGGAAGGGTCTGGGGTGGGACGCCACCCTGTTTGCTCTGAAGAAACGCTGTCAGCTGGATTAAAATCAGTTCTAAAATTCAGTGTGTGTGCAGAATCCAGGTCAGAGAAACCCCCCAGGAACAGCAATGGGAGTAGCGACCAGGAGGGGATGGAGAAGGTGTGGGGAGACGGGGGAGGGAGGGGGAATTGATTGCAATGCTTGCCCCCACTCCCACCCCAGGGGGATGAACAACAGACAGTGGTCGGTGTAAGATATGAAAATAGTAATTTATAAATTTTAAAAGAGGAGCTGATACCAAGGGCTCAAGTAGAAAGAAAATGTTTTGAGAATGATGATGGCAACAAAGGTACAAATGTGCTTGACACGATGGATGGATGGATGGTTGTAAGAGCTGTAAGAGACCCCAATAAAAGGATTCATTAAAATAAAAAATGCCAGGGGTGTGTGTGTGTGTGTGTGTGTGTGTGTGTGTGTGTGTGTTGGGGGGAGTGGTGGGATACTTGGGGAGCGGCTCTACCCTGTCCAATGGGGTCGCTACCAGGCAGCTTCGACTCCATGGCAGTGAGCTTGTTTGTTTGGGGATCAGAGCCCATGGGTGCATGCAGACCCCACTGTATGGTTCGTAGCGACAGCCCCACCCATGTGTACCGTCCTGGGACCCCGTCGGAGCTTATCAAACAACACAGAGGGCATGACCCCAATTATGCAAAGGAAATCATTCCCTCCGCGAGTGTGTGTCTATATGCACCTGCGAGGGACCAGCGATGTTTTCACACGTAGGTGAAAAAATAAAACGTTATACAGGCACAGAGATACATCCCCAAACAAAGCCAACCCATTGTCATAGAGTTGATTCTGGCTCAGAGTGGGACCCTGTAGGGCAGCGTAGAGCTGCCCCTTGGGGTTCTGAAGCTGCGACCCTTATGGAAGTTGACTTAGCTCCCTAGCACTTAAGCCCGTACCACCAGGACTGCTTCATATGCACACAGGGGGAGGAGGGCGGTGGAATAAACCCTCAATGGGAAACCATCCCGCCTGTCTGATGTCTGAGTGGTGGGATCAGGGGTGGCATTTAGCTTACGTCACTTACTAATATGACACTTCAGCCAGTGTCACTTCTAGTTTAACTGCAACATCCTGAAACCGCTTCTCCAAACCCAAACCAAACTCGCCGCCATGGAGTGGGTGCTGACACAGCGGCTCTAGAGGGCAGGGTGGAACCCGCCCCTCTGGGGTTTCTAAGACGTTAACGCTTTACGGGGAGTAGACAGCCCCGTCTTTCTCCCACGGAGTGGCGGGTGGTTTCAAACTGCTGACCTTGAGATTGGCAGCCTAATGCATAAGCACTGTACCTCCAGGGCCCCTTGAGATGGCTTCTGCAAGGATCCACACTCATGAAGGGGCGGGATTGACACGCGTCTTACATTCCCGGCCTGTGTCTGTTTTCTCCACTGCTGGCTCACGCAAGGAGTCATGGCAGTGCAGTGGTTACGTGTTCTGTGGTGCACTCAAAGGCCGTCTGCTTCTGGGTGGAGGAGGGGGATCCCAGCCTTGGGGACCCTATGGGGTGGTTCTGCTCAGTCCCCTGGGGTCACTGCACGCCGGCATTGGCTGGAAGGCAGTGTGTGATTTGGGGGTTTCGGTTCTGTTTGTTTGCCTTCTAACTTACACTCGGCCCACGGTAGCTTGGAGGGCCCTCTCTGCCACCTCTCGGACCAGGAGTCTCGGGGCAATGATGCCCGCCCCCACATTTGTCCATGCTCACCTGGTAATGGCTGGCAGAGTGACTGGACGGCCGGCCTGGATGGCCGCGTTGAAGCAGTGGGCCCCACGGGTCTCCATGGCGATGACTGGTACGTGCTGCCAGCCCACCTCTGCCAGGCCAGCTGCCACCCCGGCCAGGAGCCCCCCGCCCCCCACCGCCAGCACCAGGGCGCCTGGTGGGGCTCCCAGCACTGCCTTCAGCTCTTGAACCAGACTGGCATGGCCTTCCCTGGGGAGGGAGCGGGAGGAGAGACAGGGTCAGGGAAGGCCCCAGCCCTAAGTCCCTTCCCCCTGTGTACACCACCCAGTCCCTGTCCCTGGCAAGGGGACCCTACCACATGCAGATCATCTCTAATACACTCTTGTTACAGCCTTCCTCCCTCCCCTGCACCTCCTCAGATGTTACCCCAATAAACACCCCCACAGTGGGGGGCGGGCAAGGTGATAGTATGGTTGAAAGGGGACTGGCCCAGCCCCAATTCTGACTTCCAAACCCCCATCCTGACCCTTGTCCGCTTGGTGTGTTTTCTTGGGGAAGTTGCTGGGCCCCCTGAGCCTCAGTGTCCTTAAGCAGCCAAACCCACCATGGGGGAGGGAGAGGAGAGTGCCAGGGCCCGGCTCAGTAGGCAGCCCCAGCGATGCTCATTCCCATTTTACACCCAGGGAAACTGAGGCCCGGGGCAGCCTTGCACAAAACCAGGAACTCGAAAGTGGCAAAAAGAAGGGTCTGAATTCTGACTCCAAAGCCTCTCCCCCCACCTCACCTCCGCCCCGGGGCTCAGTTTCCCTTTGTGATCCAGGGGGGTTGCCACAGGTCTGAGGAGGGTCACTGAGCTTACCATATCAGGGGGTGGTCAAAAGGGGGCACGTGCACCCAGCCATCCTGCCTGGCCAACTCCTGAGCCTTCATATTGGCGTCATCCCAGACCTAGAGAAAACAGACAGGGACGTCCCGTGAACCCTAGTGTTGGGACCACGGGGTCGTGAGGGGCAGAGCCTTGGGGTCTCCTAGTGGGCCCTGGAGCCACCTGTCTGGTGAGAGCCCTGGGATGAAACCAGAGTTCCACGGACCCAGGAGCCTCCCGGGACAAAGGGCAAGACTTAGAGGCGGCCCAGAGGCGAGGAGGAAGTGGCAGTGTGACACCGTGAGGTGAAACATCCACGAGGCACCCTGTGCCCCTCTCAGCCCCTCTGTCATCACCCTGGAGAGGGACACGCCCAGGTGACCACTGGGCAGAGAAGGTGAAGGGACACATGAGGACCTTCAGTGTCCTGCCTGCAACCTGGAGCCCGAACCGTCTTCACCGGCCCACAGACACTTAAGCAAGAAAAACGAGTCTCTCAGGAGCCACTGCGGATGGGGGGCTGTTTGTTCCACAGCAGTCCCGAGCACAAGCGCTGATGAGTACAGCTGTGGTCATTACCTCACCTGCTGTCAACATGAGACTTAGGAGTGAAGGGGTGGGGTTTACCTGTCAATCAGGTCACAGCTTGATGACTTCATTTGGAGAT